AAGTAACGTTTTTTTAAAATAAGTTTTTTTTTTTAATTTTGAAAACTTTTTTTTAATAAGTTTTTTTTTATTTTATATTTTTTAAAAATGTATTGTGTGTGTGTGTGTGTGTGACGTCATATGAAATTGGATGATCATAATAAAATAAAATAAAATTGAATGACCATAATGACACTAAGTATAAAGTTAGATGGCTATGGTGAAACAAAATCAAATGTGGTAGTCATTATAACATTAAGTCTAAAGTTGGGTGGCCATTGATATATTTAATTATTAAAAAATAAGGAAATATTTTGGTTTTGTATGCAATATCATTTTATTAAACAATGTGTGATTGAAAATAAGAGAGAGAAAAATATATTTTGAAATAATATTTTAGAGAAAATTGTAGCATTGGTTCCCCATCCAATTCCTCAACTTGCGTGTTTATTCCCATCCTTTTTTCTTTCACGATTTCGTTCCTAGTTCGAGTTGGAATGTTGTAACGTTATTCATGTTTGTATCGCCATCGTTCTCTACTCGGCCCGTTCGGTCTATTTATCAATTAATTAGTTAATATTTTATTGAAAAGACAATTATTTCTTATGTTTTTGTAAAATAAATAAATAAATAATAATAATAATAAGATCACCCACAACGGGTCTCTTATCCCTAACATCGTTGTCATTGTTGACTTAGCCCCTGTTTGAACCTCATTTTGAGAGAAAAAAGGAGAAAGCTAAATGTACAGAATATTGCTTCAGAGATGGTTTACCTATACTCACATGAATGGGCCCCAAGCGGGACCCATTGTAATAAAAAAGAGCAAAAAAAATCCCACCCACCCCCCATTCCCCCATATTGTGAGGTATTTGTGCGGGTTCTGTGAACCCCCAATCTGTACCTCAAGCACTTCTCGAAAAAAAAATGTATTTTTGAATATTGATTTTTAGAGAATGTATGGTTAAAAATGAAGAAATTTTTTTTCGATTTATGTGTAATATTATTTTATTGGAGAATGTGTAGTTGAAAATTAATTTTGAAAAATAATTTTTTGCTAAAATAAGACTCAAACAAAGGCTTATTAATTTCAAATCGATTTGCCTCCGCTGCTCCGCATCACCAAGCACTCCCATTTCACATTTCCGAAGCCCCGCCTCCACGTTAATTTCCCTTCGTAATTTTCCTCTCCGTCACAACCTCATGTGTTACATATTCGCATCGGCATCTCACCATCATGACTATAATATCAATTTCACAAAAAAACATTTTGGGAAGCATGGATAAATAATTAAATATAATCTAAAAAAGATAATAGTTGGTGCAACTCGTGCCAACTAAAATTGCAATTTTTTTTTTCCAAAATTTTGCCGGTAAACGCTTTAAAAGATTTTACATTGGTGAGTGGTAAAGGGTGTGCCTCGAAGATCGTGATTGGTCACTTTTGTGCAGGGTATGAAGTATGGGCATCTCCGGCCTACATACTGAACAAATAGTAAAATAATATCATTGAAATTAAAATATACTCAAAATATACTCAAGAAATGTAAAATGGCCCCAACATCTCTTCTTCGTGCGGCCGGCCATATTCTGATGGAAATTGTTTACATAGACAAATAAATACGAGATTTTGCACTTGTTACGAAGGTTTACTCAACATCTTGAGACATGAGTAGACGATCAGAGTAGTTCTATTTCACTCAATTCACGAAAATTGCATTTCATATATGTTAGGTATCTGATGTCCGTCTGTGAACAAAATGGACTAAAATTAATATGTTATAAAAGTCAATGAGTAATGTGCAAATAGTAGAAATTGAATTATATTAGATCTAGGGTTCGATAATGGAAAAGAAGGAAAAATAGCGTCGGAACTTCGCTAGATTGTCGCTAAAATTTGGCTCGAGTGTCAGAAACATAAATTGTGTCGCCCGCCTGTCGCCGAACTTCGCTCGAGCAACACACTGTCGCTAGCCTATCGTCCAACTTTCGCTCGAGCGATAGGGTTATTCGAGAAATTTTTAATTCTTTTTTTAAGGCTTTTTATCCAACACATTCATTCATTAACCCTACATATAAATAAAAGAACGTCTCTGAACGAAAATTAGAAGGTTGATTATTGTGAAAAACAAATTCTCTTCATATCATCTTCATCAAATTAGCTTTCAACCTTCGTTCTGTGATTGATTTTTGGTGGTGAAAACATCAAATCCACAATTCAAATACCAAACTGCTACTTTCTACATATCTGTCGGAGTTCTGAAAATTAAGGGAATGTGACTGGAGTTCCAATAATGGAAAACCCAGAGTTCTTCGTTAATCCACAGAAGATGGGCGAATTCACAAAGTTGAGAGTTGCTGTAGGAAAGCGCAATCCAGGAGAGTTTTGAAAACTGCAGTTGGGAGTTGGTGCAGGAGTACGAAATCCATGAGAGCTGTGGGAACTGCAGTCAAGAGGTCAGAAAGTACTAGTGGTAGTTGAGTCTGACAGACTGTAAATTTTAATTCCTTTTTAGCAGATTGTTGACTGACAAAGTACCCGATGTTTGACCCAGTTGGAGTTTCTCCATGATCATTTCTTATATTTATTTATTGCTTTCATAACTGTGGTATTTCAACATAGGAAAAATTGAATTGTATGATTAACCATCTAGAGATAATTAATAGTGACTTGTTGTTAATTAATTATTAAATTTTTAATTCCGTATAATCACATATTCACCTCCCTCTAGGTGTAATTTGTGTCGAATTTCGTTTTTTCAATATACTTTATTATATCAGGTGTGCACTTGATACAAAACGTACATCTTAACATACTGACAAGTTGAGAGAGTATGCAACCAAGTTCACAAGCATACAATCAAGTTAGCTATAAGCCCATAAGCACTTTTTGATTTCGAATAGACAGCACAAGACCTACATACCATATGTTGGTAATTTGTTTAGTGAAATGGTTGTTCGTTTAATTGACAAAAGTAATTGTTAAGTTTAATTCGTAGGAGTTTAATTAAACTCTATGTAAACTAGAAATGAAAATAAAATAAAGAAAAGAAATTCGAGGCAAGTGATTAACATTTTCTTCTCAAGACAAAATTGTCCCGCAATGGTGCTAACGGATTACGACACTTATCTCTCAAGATGCAATAGATATAGCTTGTGGTAGAAGCACTTCAAAACACATGTTATTGTGAACTCGAACGAAAAATTTTCTCTCTACAAGAAAACAATTTTGGAATGATTTTTGGAAAGTTTTTGCAAAAAATTTTGATGTAATGCTCAATGTAAAATGATATGGGATACATATGGACGTTCAAATTGTCCTATTTATAGAAGATGAGATGTTGTGAGCGAAGAGACACTCACAAAAACTCAATAACCTACACGAGGGGAAGTAACCACTATTGTCGTTGACATCTTGCTCGAATAGGGATGTCAATGAGTCCAAACATGAAGTTTAGGCTCGACTCGAGTAAAAGTGGTTCGAACTTTTTTTGCCTAAAAGCTCAGCTAAAAAATCTAGGCTCGACTCGAACTTTTAGCTTGGGCCTTAGCGAGCTAGCCGAGCCGCTCTTTTTTTCTTTTTTTTAATATAGTTGCCTTGTTTGTACGCATTGTGTAGCTAAATAATATATTTTTAAAAAAGTTTTGGGAGATTTATTTATTTGTTTATTTTAGGCTCAGCTCGTAATGGGCCGAAAATAGCCCGTGACAAGTGCCTATCTGTGCAGCTCGTCGAGCCACACGGGCTAA